AGGCAGTCCAAGGGCACCAGCAGTAGCTACATGATGTTTCTAGCAAGGCAAGGGGACTGGGTACAGAAGTCAAGGAACTGGATCATGGTTAGCAAAGAAAACAGCTAGCATTCAGGGTCATCCCTTTGCCAGTCTTCTCTTGGGCATCTTTAATGGATTTTTCTAAATATTGTAGAATTCTGGCCTTGCCCGCAGGGGTGTAGGATGTGTGGGTGAGCAGAGCTGGTACTGATTGTGAGTCACTAGGTAAACCTGCGCTCTTTCAGTGGCTAAGTGATTGAGAGGCTTACAGAAAAGAAGGGGAACAGAGCATCACCCAGAGGGAAACTTTGCCTTGGACCAAGTTTTATGGCTTTCATTTGTGAATCCTTAAAATGTCACCCAAATTCCATGATCCAAATAAGATTTGCTTTTATCCCCTCCATTTATTTGTTTTCACTGAATTACAATCAGTTCATAACTGGATAAATTTTCCTGGAAAGGACATCAGAAGGTGAAGTGTCATGCTTTTAAAATCAAATTCATTCTAAATAAACTCTGACTTATTGAGGCATTGGGTCTACTTTTGTTCTGCTCTGTTATGTAGCAAATGTGAAATAAAACATGAAGAAACTGAGTTTACTTTCTCCATAATGAATTACAGATGCTTTTGGAATCAGTACTTAATGTGATAAAGCATTTTATAATCTCTGCTTTTCCTTTACTTGCTGGAGCTGCTTAGGACAAACTAACTGTCCACATCTCATGTTGTACTGATTTGTGCTCTGGTCACCTTATACAGGCATTGAATAGATCACCAACTGCCTGAAAGCAGCCACATCACACCGTGTGAAAACTATAGTGTCAAGGTCTGTACAAATCTGAAAGGGATAAAAATAAAGTAACAGGAAGTCCTCTACTTCAAGGTCTTCCCCAAGATAGGATCGAGCCACAGTGATTCCCTTCAGTTCTTATTCAAGGGAGAAAGAAAAGGGAGAGAGAGAGAGAGAGAGACAGAGAGAGGGAGAGAGAGAGAGAGAGAGAGGGAGAGAGAGAGAGAGAGAGAGAGAGAGAGAGAGAGAGAGGAGATTGAGAGGCTAGAAAAGAGAATTTAAAAGTAAATGTCCACATTTGGAAGCTGAGGTGGACAATGGAAAATCCACAAGAAGGCTAGTTAACCAAGGAAGTTGAGGAAAAGTCAGACACTGATATGTCAAGAAGGGCTCGGGAAAAGCCTTTCATAAGAGGCAGGGTTGGCAGGTAATGCTGCTGTGTGCTAAGCAAAGAAAGAAATGCAAAATACCATTGGGTGGATGACATCATCCATGACTTTGAAAGAATTATTTTTCCTAGAAACAGGTAGGAGTATAATGGACTTTAATTGCTTGAGATTACTTTCAAATGAATATCTAATATAGAATTTCACAAGTGAGCACTACTTACAAAAGTATGTGAGCAAAAGTCTAGAAACACAGTGATTTGTGTCTTGATATTTGCTAAGAGAAATTCTCAGAACTAGTGCCCAATTATCAGTTACTAGGATTCACTTTTTCAAGATTAATATGCAGAAAACAATGTTTTTGTTATTGTTGTTTTATGTGTGGAATTTAATATTCTAAGAATTCGGCTCTTAAGAAGCTCAGGTTTATTTTTTCTACTTGAAATAGAACTTTATCTAAACCTACTATAATGAAATGACTCTAAACACAAAGAACGGTAGGAAACAGATTTTATTTCTCAAAATTCCTCAAGCATAGATTGTGTAATTTTTTTTTTTAATCTTTTTGAGACAGGGTCTCCCTGTAGCTCCAGCTGGCCTGGAACTCACTATGTAGACCAAACTGACCTTACTCTCAAAGAGATCGGCCTGCCTCTGCCTCCTGAGTGCTGGAATTAAAGGCGTGTACCACCACACCCAGCCTTAGACTGGAATTCTTGCCTATCCTTAACCCGTGGGCAATTATGGTGCCTGTGTGTGATCTGTGTCATCAAATTCACAAATGCTACTGTGATTATAAAGCCCTTAAATGATATTTTATCATAACTACTCTTTTAAGCTCAAGAACCATAAATTTTCATAAAAGCCTTGCTGTATTTTATAATATAGAAGATTGTAATGACATCATGAAATCTGTGCCACCTATAAGTCTGGCTGGAAGCACATGGAAAAATGGCCCTGCAGGTGAAAACTTGAACCAACTGTAAAGACAAAAAATAGAAAAACATTCCCAAAGGGAGGCCATGCCCCAAACTCTCCTCAAGCCAACTGACCAGGATGGAAAAGCAGGTCAGTTCCCAAAGAGGAGGCCCAAAGCCATGTGATTCTTCTCCCCACTCTAGGAGAAAGCATGGCCTTGTGCCAGTAGGAGACAAATGGTCTACCATTTATTCAGTAGACTAGAGGAGACCGGTCCTCGCCCTTCTGGAGAAGCTCAGCTCAGTACCACCAACAAAGCTTGGATTAAGAAGCAGAGTAAGGCCCTGCCCTTCTGGATAAGCATGTGGAGACCTGACTTCAAAGGGAGTCAGGTGAGCTCACTGTATTTGCTTTCTTACTCTCCGTGGCCCTTAGTGGTCTCAGCTGGGAACTTATCTTTAGGGCAGGAGGTGAAGACAACTCCCTTGTCACCATGTTGTCATATTAAAAGCAAGAATGTTGCCCTTTGCAACCAGACTTCTAACTTCAACCTACTGTTAACATCACACCGTTTCAAATAAGCTACCAAACTCAGCTTCCTGGGAACGTGTTGAAGAATAATATAATCACCATACCATACCTACTAGGTGGAAAATGCCTTTTAAATAAGAAATCAAAAGCATCTCCAAGGGAAAATAAAAACTTGAAACCTAAACTATTTGATTTCTGAGATTACTTTTAGTGATAGAAACAATTTGGGGTTTCATATTATTTTCAGTGATCAGGTTTTGTGAAAATTCAAACCATGTCATTGAATTGCAAAA